ATTCTCTAAAAATAGGAACATCTTAACGCCAACAAGACCAATATCGTCCTTTTGCATTCTTACTTTGCCCAACACTTTCCAAATATTTTTACACATTTCTTGCATGTCATTATTGCCATACCTTCCTAGTGTGAAAATGCGAAAACTTGTAGCGGAAGACCTTTTATAGTTGTTCTTTAATAGACTCAAATATTTGTCGAAATCGGTTGAAATAAACAAAACGGGATAGTTTGGCATTTTCCTAGAAAATATGACCAAGCAATCTGGGTGTAGATTGGTTACATTACAAATATATCACTATCGTGTCATGGTTGTATTATTTTTATTCATTTTTCTGTTAAACTATGCCAATTACAGAGTATTATTCGGTATGAAAAAATGGTCTAGCCATTTTTTGAATATAATGTATTCATGCTGTTGACTTTATATGTTGAAAAGCAAAAGGAAATAATTTAAATGATAATTCATACACGCACAACACAATTTATTTTCCGGTCGAGCTTGACTAGTGAATTCTTAATGCAATCTAGAATTCTATGCATATGTGACGAGTAATGTTTGCCGTCGCTCGCATTTTGCATACCTTTTGTCATACCGCTGAACGGTATGTATCACGACAGCTTGTTTCCTTCCGTTGAGTTTCTCTTTCCATTGGAATCGAGTAATAACTTTGCAATAAAACAACATAGTACACAACATTTCGCAGCAACCATTCATGATCACCCTCTTACGGAAAAAGCCACTCTCATATCATTATGCAGTTTTACTGTCAAGAAAATGAGCATCATACGTGCGTGTGTGCATCGCTGAGAATGAAAATGGCATACCTTCTGCTCTCGATTATGGTTATGGAAATTCCCAGAAAAGTGAGTCTCTCAAGTCATTTAAATTCTCAGCGATACAAATATGCATAGATAAAAAGCACACTACAAACATACATTTACTCGAAATAATTGAAACTGAAAATGGTATTTTAAATAGTTTGTGAAGTAAATTTTGCAAACAAAGTGAATAATCCGAAGCGCATTTCGAGAGATTAGATGAAATGAATGACAATAAAATAAATGCGACACAAATATATTGTTGCGTAAATTTGTTTTCTAATCGGTAGACAAACTGAGTACACGCAAATCGAAAACTATGACTTGCATCACCAACAACAAAATAACGCGAAGAATTGAGTGTGGAACCAGCATGAAAACTTTGTGTAAAGGAGATTAACAACGATTGAAAATGAAAATGTCAACAAAAACACCATGAAGAAGATAGTTTTAAAACATACTCGAATCCATTGCGATAAGCATTGCACTGAATTACACAGTCATATTGTTGCTAATTCTACTAAAAAGTTTTGAATGAAAGAACGAGTATGTGAGAGAGTCTCTCAAGCAAAACGGCTTCAATGAACTGTTGAATGGTGGAAATGATGCAGTGAGCACCAAACAAATGGCACATACATTTATAATTGGGTGACAGTATTTTGCATAATCTCCAAAACAAAAGAGTTGCCATTATGACAGTGCGAGATTCATACGATATGCGAAACGAATCGGTGCAGTAAAATGGATTCTTTAGTGTGTGTGTGTGTGTTAGTGTGAGTATGAACTAAAATGTAATCAACGATTGTCGTATTGCGAATTTTCAACAATTCGAATTTGCGTCAAACCGTTTGAGTGTCGTTCAATGCTGCGCTATTTTTTTCCCGATTTACTTGGTGATTTTTCCATTCAAATTTATTCGTGTCGCCTTTTATATTATTCAATATGTCATTGTCAGTGGAACAGAAATGTCGGTCTCTTTGGCACTCTGATTACAATACAAAATACAAATGTGATTTTATAGTATGCCAATGGGTGAAAAGTGTTTAAAGATCATCACGGTGTGTGACTTGATTTCCCGTTCGAGAAAAATACTTTTGAACAACTTGAGCCAAGTTTTATTCATTGCTTTTCGTTGGTTGCGTCATTTCGCATTCATATCAGGTATATTGTGTGCGCTTCTGCCAATTGAATGCATCGCCTATATCGCACCAGAAAAAAAACCCATATTGAATAGTGAATTGACAAATGTGAAAGAGCTTAAATTAAATTGTACACTCGTTTTTCATGGTTTTTATCTATTCTTTGCCTTTCTCTTTTGATCCGTCGTATGAACTTTGCTTCAATCGTTATGCCTGTACACCAAAAAAAACTTTCCCTCATAATCTTCGGCATGATTGTTCGTACAGGTGAAATGCGTAAATTGCTCTCGATATGAAAAGTATTGTATGGTCTCCAATCTATGTTCTTTTCATTTCACCCGTTTGCATCCATCGAATTGCGTATTGTGTTTATAACTTTTCAATTCTTCGGTTGGTACGGAAACTTAGCAAATGATACGGTAAATCTTGGCAAATATTGAAGAATATACATTGAAATTATCGATTTATTTGATCGCCTGGATTCTCCCTAAAAGAACCTCTTCAATTGGAAAAATTCCATAAAGGTTCTTTTTCATATATATTTTTTTATTGCTTTCGCCTTTCATATCTTTTTTCGACATAATGATGTCTCTCATGGAGTATTTGTAAATTGTTGGAATTCAATTTTGTGACCATAAAAATGCTCGATAAATTTGCATAACGATAAACATGACCTAAGGTCATTGAATCCAATATCCTTGCATTTGTATTTACCAATTGTACATCAATTTTATTTACTACAACAAACAATCGTAATCGCCTATAAGCGGCAACACTAATCACATCCGTCCAACTTTCAAATCCGATGACATCACGCATAAACCATTTAAATCCATTTACAAAATTAATTTCGTGAAGCTTCACTGCTTGCATTCATCCATTTGATTTATGACAAAAAAATCAGGCGATTGAAACTTTTATTTGCACATTACTTTCGCTCCGCACCGAATTTATCATTTTGAAAAAAAAAATGTAATGGTGATGTTTAGCATAATCGCGACAAAGAGCTGAACAATGACAGGGTCAAAGAAACCAGAAAATAAAGTAAAAGAATTTTCTTTTTGTCATCGAAATAAAAGCAAAAAGTAAAAAAGTGAATTTAGCAAAGCTCAAACAATAGCAAAAAGACGGCTGATATTCTCAGTATTTGAAAATGTTAAGACGAAAGACACACACACACACACAGAGAGAGAGAGAGAGAGAGAGAGAAACATGCAAAATTCAAAATGGAAATGTGGTTGCGTTTCTTAGAAATTAAAAAAGGAATCATTTTTTTCTCATCGGCTGCTGTTGTAATGCATTCACGCTTTTCTAAGTGCTGTGATACGTACATTATACATACAACATGCCGAACAATACGTTTGTTTACCAAAGCAGAATACACAAAATCATCTCTCATATTTCATGCCGGAAACTTTTTTTCCATTGCGTCTGAGAACTTTTCCCTATGTCGCCACGATTGATTCGTTGCTGCTATGTCAATGTGTGCATGTGTTCGTGTGTGTGTGCAGTATGTGGTGATGGATCTTTGGTTCTTTTCAATTCTTTGTGAATAAGAAGATTATTACATTGCTGCGGTTTTGGTTATTTGTTCATCGTTCATGCATCTCACCATTTGATTTTATCGTTGACAAGTTCTCTTCTCGCCTTTTCCGCTTGTTACTCTATATATATGCGAGATGATTTATTCATTTCCATTCGAGATGATTGCGACGGCTTAGATAGGCGACATGCATACAGAAATAATTGTCGCCAGAGTTACAAAATAGTGAATAAAAAGTTGAAAAAAAAAAGAGATTCCAAGCACCCAAGATGAAGACTGTGAACACTGAACAGGCATGAATTCAATACATTTGAATTTTATTGAAGTGAATACTTCTGACTGAGTTTCGAAATTGAACTCGCCTGAGTGATGTTCAGAGTGATGGAATTTCATGTGATTTTAATAGCGGCATTAAAGTTCTTTACAACCATCGAAGCGATTTCTTCGTACGTGAATC